TCGAACTCCTGAGCTCAAACAATCCGCCCGCTTCAGCCTCCCAGAGAGCTAGGATTACAGGCGTGAGCCACCGCGCCCAGCCTCTAAGTGTTTTTTTTTTTTTTTTTTAAATAGAGGTTCATGTCTTCATTGTTTCGTCTAATAATTTTGATTTGCTTTGACATTTTAAAGATGATTTTGCTTTATAAGATTTTACTAGTAGGGCTTACTTGGTGCTTTGAGTTGATGATATTGCTCAATAAAGAAATTTAAGTTATAAAAGTAAGAGTGATTCTTAAAAAGTTGGTATTTAGAGATGGGCAACTATCTATATAAGGATACAAACTCAGAGAGCAAGGATTTAGTTGGTATATACCAGAGTTTGTCAGCCTTGGCATTATTAACATTTTGGACTGAATAATTTTTTGTCGTTTCTGTGGTGGAGGGGGGTTGGGGGTGTCCTGGGCATTGTAGGATTTTAGCAGCATCCCTGGCCCCACCAGTGGCACACTCTACCCTCCAGTTATAACCAAATATGCCTCTAGACTTTGCCAAATTGTCCCTTGGGGGCAAAATTACACACCACTTGAAGACCAGTAGTGTCTGTACCTTAGAGGTGGCATGAAATGTCTCACTTTGGAAATCTTTGGCATTCCTAGGTATCTTTGAGAGTATAACAATATGACTGTATGCTTTTTACATTTTAGAATTTGTGGTTGCTTAGAATAAAGTGACTTTTGCACTAGCCACTTGGTTCTATTCCAAGCTGTGAAAAAGGGTGCATTATAAATCACATTTCACTGATACAGTTTCGTTTTGTTAACTGACTTCAGCAGTTAAGTAGTGGTAGAAAAAGGGAACCAAGATTGCAAAATAAAGTATAGCTTGTAATCAGAGCTTTTGCCATTGTGTCTATGTATATACATATACGGTACAGGGTACAATCAACTTATTTTATGTTTTTTTCCAAAGGGACATGAGAGATGGCTTTAGAAGAAAAGGCTTCTACTCTTCCCATTATGTGAGAGACCGGTCTCCTCATAAAAGGGATAATCCGCTTTTCAGAGAATCTCCCGTTGGCCGAAAGGATTCTCCACACAGCAGATCTGGCTCCAGTGTCAGTAGTAGAAGCTACTCTCCAGAAAGAAGCAAACCATACTCTTTCCATCAGTCTCAGTACAGAAGTATGTATTTTCAAGGCTTTTCCTTTTCCTTCCACAACCTCCACTGATGAGAATGTATGGAGTCAGATTGCCTTTAGGTGTTGTAAGAGATATTATTTTCTTTTTAACTTTTTATTTTGAAAAATTTCAATCTTACAGAAAGGTTGAAAGAGTAGTATAATGAATACCATACACACACATTTTTGGAACTATTTGAAGTCACATTCTGCATGACGTTTCACCTTTAAATTCTTCAGCATGTAAAAGAGGTCTTTGTAATCATACCTTGAAGTTATATACTCTCATATTTTTTGGTAATTCCTGTGCCAGTCCAACCTCTTTATTCTTCTATCATTAGGTGATATCTGTATATATATGATAGTCTGTTGTCCATTAAAAATATCAGTGGTTTTCTCTAAGTAATATGGTGTATAGCCTTTTAGAATTTAGAGCTAAAACCTACCTTGGATTCATTTTTCCAACCTTTTTTTTTTTTTTTTTAAAGTTTGCAGTTCCTGGATGTACATAGCATTCTGTGCACTCATAGCATGTCCTCCTGTCTGGATTGCTTAGTATTAACTGGAACAAATACATGAAGCAACCACTTTTCTGGATAAAGCATTCTTATATTATCTTTCTAGACTACAGCCTGCAGTGGTGTTCATTCACAAAACATTTCCTTATGCCTTCTGAGTGCAAGGCACTGTGCTAGATACAAAGATGTCCCTGTCTCTAAACTAGAATATATGTATGTATATGTTGTACCAGCTAATAACTATCAATGTGTTAATATGTATATAAGATACAGCTTTTATGCAAGAATTATTATGTCATAAATGAAATTAACATGAAGTGAGCATGTCAAAGTGAAATTCTTACTCTGGCGATAGAAGAACATGTCATGAAGGAGATGACATTTGGACTCAACCTTATTTCAGATTTGCATAATACGAGCGAAGAAGTGTCTTCTAAGTAAAGGGAATCATCAGCCAAGATACAGAAATGTCCGGGATATTTCTTTTTCTTTTCTTTTTCACTTTCTTCTCAATAACTGTCTTTTTCAAATAATTAGAGTTTTAATTTAACAGCCTTCACCTCCTGCATGGTGAGAGTGATGGAAGATGACTAGGAGTCATCAGATTGTCTTCCTTTCAAGCTATTGCTAGATTCTTGTGTTTAGCAAACATTTATCAGTTGTCTATTATTTGCAAAGATAGGTAGAGTGGGGCTTCCTCCAAAAACATTTTTGTATAGAGGTGTGTGAGTGATCATATAGTAGATGAGAATGTCATTTGAAGGATTTAAAACAAACAGAGCCACTTACATATGCCTGATTGCTTAAGATGTGCTCAGGACAGTTCTAGGTAACTAGAAGTTTTACTGTAGAGTTTAGTGTTAACAAGTATTTTCTCTTTTATTTTTATATCCCCCACACCTACCACCAGGAAAAAAAACCTTCAAGAAGATAAATGACGTCTAAACTCTAATGAATGGTCAATGTATACAAACACATCCAAACTTAGCCAGATACCTTCTAAGAACGTCTTTTTTTAATGTGTATTGACTTAAATCCAAATCTAATAATGGTTTGATTAAAGAGGGAGAAAGTATGTTTGGAAACTGATTATGAAGCCTTTTTAACAAAACATGAGTAAAATGGATTCTTATTTGGCAGCTTGTGAAGCTATTAAAGGTAGTTATTGATGAATTAACCTTACTTTTCCATTTCTCCTCAAAAACAGAAATTTCTGGGATCTGTTGATCTGTTTTTCAGCTTTTTAGTGGTTAAAACTCTAAAATCTTGAGATGAAATATGGATAAGCCACAATGCAATGCTCTGGTCTTAGGGTCTCCATATACTTTCCCGATCTTTTGAGGTCTAATACCTTTAATATCTGGAGTGATGAAAAGATAACGGAAAAAACTAGGAGACTAAAATACGGGATAAATTGAATGAAACAGAGCATATGACTTTATTAATTCCTAAAAGTTTATTTTCTTTAGTCATTTAGCTTTGAAAGTAACGTTCTTTAATCAGGGAAAAAAGTTTGATCTGGGAAAACTCTGTTTACAGGTTGCCTTGGTTGATTCCTTAACTAATTGGGCTGAACTATGAAAATTTTTTCTATATTCCTTTCATGCTTTCAGAATAGTTACATGTGATTGTCTCGTAAAAAGTTAGTGGAGAGGGCTGGGCATGGTGGCTTATACCTGTAATCCTAGCACTCTGGGAGGTCGAGTCAGGAGGATTGCTAGAGGTCAGGAGTTCGAGACCAGCCTGAGCAAGAGCGAGACCCTGTCTCTACTAAAAATGGAAAGAAATTAATCGGACAACTAAAAATATATAGAAAAAATTAGCCGGGCATGGTGGCGCATGCCTGTAGTCCCAGCTACTCGGGAGGGTAAGGCAGAAGGATCGCTTGAGCCCAGTAGTTTGAGGTTGCTGTGAGCTAGGCTGACGCCACAGCACTCTAGCCTGGGCAACACAGTGAAACTCTGTCTCAAAAAAAAAAAAATAGAAAAATAAGCTGGGCGTGGTGGAGCATGCCTGTAGTCTCAGCTACTTGGGAGGCTGAGGCAGGAGGATGGCTTGAGTGCAGGAGTTTGAGGTTGCAGTGAGTTATGATGCCACTTCACTCTAGCTGGGGTGACAGAGTGATACTCTTGTCTCCAAGAAAAAAACAGAGTTAATGGAGAAATCTTGTTTTAAACAATAAATGGAAAAAATACTTATTTTACATATTTGTGATATCAGTGTTTTACTTTAAATGTCACAAATATTGATGGCACCTGACTTTTCTTCAAAAAAAGGACTGAGAAACAGGATTCTTAAATTATTAGTCGCTTCAGCTAGATTAATTAGCAATGGGTTAAAATTTAGTTTTCTAATACAAATTGAAATTCCTGACAAAGATTTTAAATGTTTTTTTATAAATGTAAATAACAGGTTCAAATAATTTTCTTATGGTCTTATTTCATAATTCATTAACTTTTAACTTTTTGCTTTTTGTTCATACTTCAGAATAATTGTAACTGTTTTAGTGATCACAAGTGGTTTGGCCCTGGTAACTGTTCAAAGACTAATTCTTCATAATTCTTATATGCATTTAATATGATTATGTTCTTAATTGTAAGCTGCAGAGTGATTTTTACTGCATTTTTAGTTCAGTTTATTTCCTATTTTGTACTTACACACATGTGTATATGCACACATACACTTAAATTTCTTCTACTTAGCCTTTTGGGTTAATCTTATGGAACTTTGTACTGCTTCAGACTAATTATCCTTCTGGATCAAACTGTTGTTTTTATCCTGTGTTTCACTTACAGGAATTTTCTGACTTTAACTTAGTTGGGCTAACCTGGACATAGCTATGAATGCAATAGTATTTTTAGTTCCTTTTGTTCATATTCACATGACAGCAGTGCAGGTTGTCCTAGTTAACTTCATTTTGTTTCTCCTTGTTTATTATGATACTTTCCTAGTTAAAATTGTTTTGTTATATATACCTTGAATATTTTTACTTGAAGTTTATTTTTATTATAATTAATCTGACTCAACATCTCTATATTTGTTAACTCTGCAATATTTATTTCTTTTTTTCTCCCCTCTTTGAATCCCATATTTTCCTATCTTGTAGTTATATGTCATTTTACCTTTTATTTAGGATAATAACGTTAAAAGGGATGCAAGAAATCACTAAGTTCAATTTCACACACCCATTCTTTGTTAAAGTACTTGTGGTAAGTTTGCTAAATCACAATCCAGTTCTTGCACCTTTAGATAGATCAATCTTTATAAAAGGAATTAAAATCTTTTCCAGTAACATCTTAATACTAGTTATTTATCTTAGAGCCGTGTATGTGTGTGTATACATTATATATATACGTATATATATACACACACACATATATACTTACATACGAAGATACTTGTTACTTTTATGTTATAACCTTTTATGTATAGGAGTACCATCATATCCTTCATGATTTTTTTCCAGGTTTAAATATATTTCATTTCTTTTGCTGTTCCTTATATTTTTCATGGTTTCCAGACCTTTTGTTTTCCTAATTTTCCTTCTGTTCATTTTAAGTTGTAACACCAGAAGTGAACTTTTATTTTGACACCTGGATTTCATTAGTGGTCCTTACTGAGATGATAGGCAATTAAAACCTAAGCCATTTTCACATATAATACTTTCAAATGAAATATCCCTCAGGCTATACTTTTTTTCAGGTACAATTTTGTGTGTAATTAATGCATTAAGAAGAATCTATATAGAAATGCTAAATTTCATCTAATTAACTTTGACTTATTGTTCCATTCTATAGAGATCTTAAAATCTCATTTAATAATCCTATATATTAGCACTTGATAAGAACAGCTTGTTTATCTGCCAATTGAGTATGCTTATGTGTTTTGTATTAATCATTAATAGTTATGCAGAGTTGCATAAGTCCAAATCTAGAAACCTCTAGAGGTTTCTGTGTTGTTTGCTGTTAATCACAATTGTGTTCCTCTACTTTTACTGTTACCTTTCTTAATTTCCACTTGGTGATGTCATGGAAGACCCTGTCAGTTGCTTTCTTGCAGCAATTTAAGTTATAAAGCATTTCCTCTGTCAAAACAGTGACATAAAGATTACCTTGCTTTGTTTTTGTAAATCCATTGTGCCTCCTAGGGTCGATTATGTAAGTACTTACGAACTACCTCTTTGTTAATTCTTTCTTAACATATGCTAGGGATTGTTGTCAAGTTTAACAGTGATGCTCCTATATTTATTAGGCTGTGTGACATTTTGGTTGAATTTTAAAAATATCTCTTGTGATGTGTTAATGAAGAAATAAAATAAAATGAAATATCATTATTATGGAAGATTTGCAAGTTTATTGTTATTAAACTTGCCTGTCTAGTTTTCTATTGCTCTGACTTTGGGCCTAGCCTCTCCTTATTTTCTCGATATTAGCAGCCACCATTAAGAATAGATGGTATTTTAAAGGAAGATATTATTCATCAACGT